ACCTAATCCCCCTCCATTCCCCTCCAGAACTACACTCTTCCAGCCTGAGTTCCCAGGGGGTTGTTATTGTAGGGTCTCCTCCCCTCTGGGGCTGGGTGGGCCAGTTGATTATTGCAGGGCAGCTGGCGAGCACTAGGAGGACCCATGGCAGTTTGTTATTGTGAGGCCCCTTGCATCCACAAGGGCGGTGCAGGAAGGTTGGTTATTGTAGGGTTTCCTGTGGCTGCTTGCTGATTTGTTGTTGTAGGGTAACTATCAAACACTGGCGCTGCTGTGCCGACCACTTTGTTATTGTAGGGTCTCTCAGGCATACCGGGGGTTGCTCATTATTCTAGGCTCACCCGCTAGCCCTGGGAAGGACACTGGTTTATTTTGGTAGGGTCGCTCAACACCTGGAGTGATTTTTAATACACCACCACCCTCTAGTGGTCTTTTCGAGGGACTGCACCTTCTGGTTCCCTTCCCTAGGTTCCTCCATAGACCGGCCCAAGGTCTCAGGGACTTAACGGGGACAACGAGAGGCAGGAGCCAACCTCTCTAGGTGAGGCGAAGGGCGCCTCTTTCAAGAGAACCCACCAAAAGCAAGTCAGTTGTGTAAACCTAGTTGCTGGGTAAAATAAACAACCCCAAGCCCTTCCACTGGCATGCAGCCACCTCTGGGGAGGGGCAGCTGGGGAACAGCCTCGCAGCGACGCTGCATGGGGCTCACTCCCCCAGCGCAGAGATGCAGCCACCTCTGCGGTGGGGCAGGTGAGGAACAGCACCCAGCGGAGCTGCACCGCACTTTAGGGGGGGCCTCCTGTGACCAGTTAAAGTTGCAAAGCGCGGTGGGGTTTAGGGCCAGGGACGAGAATAAACTGCGTGGGAATTAGGACAACGGGGTTACCACCCCACCTCTTGGGAAAAGGACCAAGGGCCGTTTACCAACTTCCTCCAGCACAGCGCCCCCTAGTGCTGCACTAGGGCATTGGGAACAGCGCTGAGTGCCAGGGGACAGTGCCCCTTTTCGAGCCCCCACCCTGCTCCTTGCAGCACCCTTGTTCCGGTGCTAGCCCCGCCTGACCCTTCAGGATCAGACAAGAGCCTTAGCTAAGGCTCCCCCCCTCCCCTCCCCCGATGTCTGCTCCCTTTAATCCAGCAGGAATGCGTGACGCACACATGCCGGTAGACCTACGTCATAGCCGCACCCCCTGCATCGGCCCTTGGAACACGGGCTGGATTCTCCCCAGCCAGCCCAGCATCCACCCCCCTGCCTGCCTGGCTAAGAGCAACCTTGGGGTGCAGACGTCAACCCCCACCTGGCTCCTGGCGGGGAACGGAAGCAGTGCCATGGAGCAGGGGGGGTTCAACTTTTTTTTTCATTTGCGACCCCCCCTAAAAATTGTGTGTAGACCCCCTTGGAAATCTTAAACATAGTCTGCGGAACCCCAGGGGTCCGCTGAAAACCACTGCCCTACATCAACCCTGCTTCTCTAATGCAGAGATGCAATCCAATGGCTAGCGCGCCTGTACCGACACCACCCCCTGGTGGTGAGACAGTGAAATGACATAGCTAGTGCGACTGTATCAACACTGCCCCCTAGTGGAGAGTGAAATGCTATGGCTAGTGCTCCTGTCCGACACCGCCCCCTAGTGGTGAGACAGTGAAATGCTATGGCTCGTACGCCTGTATCACCACCGCCCCCTAGTGGTAAGACAGTGAAATGCTATGGCTAGTGTTCCTGTACCAACACCACCCCCTAGTGGAGAGTGAAATGCTATGGCTAGTCAAGTATCAGAAGGGTAGCCGTGTTAGTCTGAATCTGTAAAAAGAAACAAAGTCTCCTGGGGCACTTTTAAGACTAACAGAAGTTTTGGGAGCATAAGCTTTCGTGGGTAAGAACCTCACTTCTTCAGGTGAATGAGCTGGTCACCAGCAACCACACACCGCACCATAACAACTCTAACTCAGGAACCAACCCATGCAACAAACCTCGATGCCAACTCTGCCCACAGCTCTACACCAGCAACACCATCACTGGACCTAACCAGATCAGCTACAACATCACCGGCTCATTTACCTGCACGTCCACCAATGTTATATATGCCATCATATGCCAGCAATGCCCCTCTGCTATGTACATTGGCCAAACTGGACAGTCACTACGCAAGAGGATAAATGGACACAAGTCAGATATCAGGAATGGCAATACACAAAAACCTGTAGGAGAACACTTCAACCTCCCTGGCCACACAATAGCAGATGTAAAGGTAGCCATCTTACAGCAAAAAAACTTCAGGACCAGACTCCAAAAAGAAACTAGCTGAGCTCCAGTTCATTTGCAAATTTGACACCATCAGATCAGGATTAAACAAAGACTGTGAATGGCTATCCAACTACAGAAGCAGTTCCTCCCCCCTTGGTGTTCACACCTCAACTGCTAGCAGAGCACCCCCCCCTCCCTGATGGAACTAACCTCGTTATCTCCCCACTGATATATCCCTGCCTCTGGAGATTTCCATTACTTGCATCTGAAGAAGTGAGGTTCTTACCCACGAAAGCTTATGCTCCCAGTACTTCTGTTAGTCTTAAAGGTGCCACAGGACCCTCTGTTGCTATGGCTAGTGTGCCTGTACCAACACCACTCCCTACTGGAGAGATGTGGTATAATGAAATGACTAGTGTGCACTTAGCACACTGCCCCCTGCTGGGGAGATGTCATGCAATGCCATGGCAAGGGTGCATGTACCAACACCATCCCCTAACAGGCAGCATCATAACTGCTTGCTTGTCCATTTGCAGAGTAGTGACTCTTTTCCTTTAGCTGCAGGATGGTGTTTCTGGAGTAGGAGGAGCTGTTCTCTTCCCTGCACTGCCGAGCTCCCACCAGCCAAGACGAGAAGCATGAATAGAATAGGGTGCCTCAGACTTATAGATAGATTCTTAGGGTTGAAAGGGACCTCAGGAGGTCATTTAGTCCAACCCCCTGCTCAAAGCAGGGCCAATCCCCAACTAAATCCCCAAATGGCCCCCTCAAGGATTGAACTCACAACCCTGGATTTAGCAGGCCAATGCTCAAACCATTGAGCTATCCCTCCCCCCAAACAGCACCATCTGTTTCACAGTTAGGGACACAGAAGTAAAAGACAAGTGACTTGTCATATCAAGTGGAGAGTGGCTGAACTGGGAAAGGAATCCAGGAGTCCCGACTCCCAACCGCCCATTGCTCTAACCACTAGACCCCCTCCCCTCTTCTCCCAGAGATGGGGGTAGAACCTAGGAGGCCTGGCTCCAAGCCCCCCTGCTCTAACCATTAGACCCCATTCCCCTCCCAGAGCTGGGGGTACAACCCAGGAGGCAGAAGTGTGTAAAAGAAGCAGCGACTTTTTTTATTTTTTTAAAAATATTGTTTTCTCAGATCGCACAAAAATCCAAGATACAAAAATACTTTATCAGCTTCGGGCTAAGAACACCACATTAAAAAACAAACAAAAAACAACAAAACCAGCGCTTAAAAATAAAGGTTCCTGGTTAAGGCATTGGTGTAAGGCTGGGGTCCCCTCCCAGAGCCAGGAAGAGAACCCAGGAGTCCTGACTCCCAGTTTCATGCCCAGCCCAGAGGGGTCCCAGCCTCCTGCATCAGAACAGGGAAACCATCAAAACACAAGACTTGGAGACTGAGTGTCTCAGCATTGCTCCAAAGCCCAGCGAGATCTTCCCATGGATCCAGCTCTAAGTCCAGTTAAAATCTCCCCCCGCTGAGACCCAAAGACCGGGGGTCTGGGGACAGAACAAGCCGCCCGCTCAGCCCCCATCACTAATGTGTCTCAATTCAGCCCTCTGATAACTGCTGAGGCCGCCAGCAAGGGGGCGGAGAGGTGCCTGAAGTGGATGCTTGGGGCTGGGATCTCTGACAGTTTGATTCATAGGGCGCAGAATGGTTGGTAGGTGGGAATGGCTTTTGGTTACCAGCGAATGGAACCGGAACTGGCACCCCAAGGGGGGAAAGGCCCCGTATCCCGCGACTCAATCCCCTGAGCCAGCCAGTTCCCCTGCTCTGGGGCCGGATCGGAGATGGCGCCCCCTAGAGGGGAAAGGCCCCATGTCCCATTTACCGCACCCCTGAACTGTCCGGTCCCAGATAAGGCTTCCCCCTCAGTGTGTTACTAACTTAAGCACAGATTTATCATCATTTTGTTTTTAAAAAAAACATTTTCAGAGAATCTTTTTGCAGTCACAACTGTGGATGGAAACAAAACACACTGAGTAAAGCAGCCGGGTAAAACCCAGGGGTCCTGACTCCAAGCCCCAACCCAACCCTCTGACCACTAGCCTAGCCTCGCCTCCCTTCCCACAGCTGGGGATAGAACCCAGGAGTCCTGACTCCCAGCCTCCCCTGTTCTAACCCACTAGACCCCACTCCCCGCCACAGCTGGGGATAGAACCCAGGAGTCCTGACTCCCAGCCTCCCTTGTTCTAACCCACTAGACCACATGCCACTCCCAGAGCTGGGGACAGAACCCAGGAGTCCTGACTCTCGCTCCCACCCTGCTCTAACCACAAGACCCCACCCCCTTCCCAGAGCTGGGAATAGAACTTAAAACCCCAGGAGAGGAGACTGGGATCTAACGGCTAGAGCAGGGGGAGCTGGGAGCCAGGACTCCTGGGCTCTACTGCCCCTGTCTGGGAGGGCGTGGAGCCTAGTGGTTAGAGCAGGGAGAGGGTTGGTTTTGCAAGCTGCTGCAGATGCTAGGCACTCAGAAGTGATAATCCTACAGTAACTAGTGCAGGGTTTTTGACCTAAGGGCATCAGTGCATGGCAGAGACCCCGGCCCCTCAGCTCTCCTTGCCAGGCGCGGGGCCATTGCGGGCCAGCAGGTCCCCGTAGGCCGCCTCCTCGCGGGAGAAGACCAGGAACTTCTTGTCGAGCTGGGCACGCAGGTAGAGGTAGTCCTGCTGGTCCAGGCTGTGCCCGCAGCTCAGGTAGGTGGTGAACAGGCCAGCCAGCAGGAGGCGATCCAGAGACAGGCAGGGCACGGCCCACAGCACCAGCAGGAACTCCAGGTAGACGGGGTGGCGAAGGTGAGAATAGAGCCGCACAGCCCGCACGGACTTCAGCGCCAGCGGGTCCCCCATGCCCAGACAGTGGTAATAAACCTGGGGGGTAGGGGGAGAGGTTAAGGGCAGAGTTGAGACACCCCTCCAGATCTGGGGCTGGATTGGAGCTGGTGGCCCCTAGAGGGGAAAAGCCCCGTGTCTCATTCCCCACCCCCCTAGGGGCTGGATCAGAACCATAGGGGCTGGATCAGAACAGATCTGTGATTTGTGTTGGTTCAATTCTCCACTGACATTCACACTGGATCAGAACCTCTAGGGGGGAAAGGCCCCATAACCCATCCCCCACCCCTCTGAGCCAGCCAGTTCCCCAGCCTGGGGCTGGATCAGAGCCGGCGCCCCCTAGAGGGGAGAGGCCCTGTATCCCATTCCCCATCCCCCGAGCCAGGCAATCCCCCGGCCCGGGTTGCAAGGAGACCGAGGTACCTGTTTGACTCCCATAAGCTCAGCATAGTCGAAGATGAGGATGACGCTGAAGATAACCAGCCAGGCGATGAAGTGCAGGATGAAGCAGATGAGCGGAACCCAGGTGTCCCAGGGCTCCGTGCAGGCGTTCCAGAGCAGGGGGCCGTGCCGGACGGGTTGCCAGTACCGCATCAGCAGCTGTGGGGGAGTCCCATTAGAAATAATTCTGCCAACACCTCCCAGCCCTGACCTACAGCCCCCTGCTATCCCAGCCTTGGGCTCCCCCCCATCCCCCTGCTAGCCCAGCCCTGGGCTCCCCCACAGCTCTGCTGGTGCCCCTCATTCCCGACCCGTAGCCCCCGGCGGTACCTGGAGGGCCAGGGCGGTGCAGAAGACGTAGAAGGATCTCTGCAGCACCCCAAAGCAGCTGGTGGTCCAGCGCTTGACCGGCGCGGTGGCCATGAGGCTGTGCTGCAGCACAAAGAGCGCCACCAGGCCCAGGTCCACGGCCAGGGGCCGCAGCACCCGGGGGTCCTGTAGGGCGGCCCCCCACTCCACGCTGGGGGTGGCCTCTGCAAAGGGGGAGAGGGGGATTAAGGGGGGCAGAATGTACCCAGTGAGGCATCACCCATTTGGCTCCCCCCTAGGGCACTGCTCCCCCTCCCGCACCCAGTTCCCTCTTTGCCCCCCAGCTCCCAACCTTGGCCTGATCCCCAGCAGGGCTCGGGTCCCACCCTGACCGCCCTCCCCTCATAGCTCCCCCCAATCCCGGCTCCTCACCATTCCCCCCTTAACCGCCCCAAACTCACTCCCCCTCCCGCTCGGCCCCTCCCAACCCCGATTGGGATGGGCTTCCCCCAGGATCCCCCCCCAGGGGCTTCCCTCTGGGTCTCCCCTCCTAACCCCCTCCCGCCCTGGCTCTTCTCTAGGGCTCCGCCTCCCTCTAGGTCTCTCTTCCCAGCCCCCTCCCCTCAATCTCCCCCTAGGTCTGTCCTACCAGCCCCCTCCGTCCCAGGGCCTTCTCTAGGGCTCCCCCTCCCTTCCCAACCCCCTCCTGCCCTGGGTCTCCTCTGGGTCGCCCATAGATCTGGTCTCCCTTCCCCACCCCCAACCCCCGGGTCTCTCCCTAGGTCTCTCCTCCCAGCTCCATCCCCTGGCCCCTCCCTCCTCCTCCTCTCCCCTTCCGCCCCGGGTCCCCCCGGCCCCACGCACCCGGCCGCCCCCGCCGGGCAGCACGGCGCGCAGCGAGGCGAAGCGGATCAGCTCCACGCCGGTGCCGAAGGTGAAGAGGAAGCTGCCCAGGGCCGGGACCATCAGCAGCAGCTGGGCCGCCATGGCGAGCAGGGAGCCGGGGCGGGGACTCCGCTTCTCCCGCCGACCGGAGAGTCCCGCCCCGGCCCAGGGAGGGGCTTCCCCCGGGAACCTCCCCAGTGACCCGCCCGGCGGGGCGGGGCTTCCCCCGGGATCCCCTTCCCCAGTGACCCGCCGCTATGGGGCGGGGCTTCGCCGGGATCCCCTTCCCCAGTGACCCGCCTCTAGGGGGCGGGGCTTCGCTGGGATCCCCCTCCCCAGTGACCCGCCTCTAGGGGGC